TGCCGGAGTCGGGGGAAGGGGGATGCCGGGGTGTACCTGGCAGCCGGAGCGCACGCCATCACCGCCGGCGCAGACCATGGTGTTCTTGACGGTGGAGCCCCAGTACGAGGCGCTGGAGCAGGTCTGGTAGTCCACCATGGGCAGGTAGGCCTGCAGCAGCACGTTGGAGAGCTGCCCGTTGGCTGCACACAACCGAACGCGGGTTAACACTGTGTCAGCAAAGCCCTGCGAGACCCACGGCCAGAAACAAGACAATATCCCCCCCACCACAGCAGAGCCCGCAGCCGCCACCGAGGGGCCCCCCAAACATTGGGAATCTCTGTGCCCTGTGTGATGCCACCTGGGACCTCAAAGGGCTTAAAAATGTACAATCATGGAATCGTTTGGGTTGGAAAAGACCTTTAAGGTCATCGAGGCCAACCCTACCCAGCCCACTTCGAAACCGTGTCCCTGAGCACCACATCTCCGTGGCTTTTAAACACGTCCAAGGACGGCGATTCCACAGGGCAGCCTGGTTCCACTCTTTGATAACCCTTTTAGCGTAGTTTTTCCTGTATTCCCCATGGTTTTTGGGGTGATTTAAGGTTGAGGCGACCCATCGGCACTCACTGCGGGTGCGACCCCAGCCCGTGATGTAGCAGGGGTAGTTGTTGGGCAGGATGGATCCTGCCGTGGGCAGGACGGCCAGCTGCACGTAGCTGTTGACGGTGGCATAGGTGGCCAGGCGGAGCAGGGCGATGTCGTAGCTGGCGAGAGGAGGGAGAGGATGTTGTGAAGATCCCCCTCTGCAGTTGCCGGAGATGCTCCCCCAGCCTCCCCCAAATCCCCCTCTCCGTGCGCGTTACCCCCCGGCGACGTTGTTGCGGTTCCAGGAGGGGTGGACGATGATCTTGCTCAAGCTGAAGACCTGCTCGCTGCCTTCGTTCACGTTGAGGTTGTGATCGCCGGCCACGACGCGGAAGTTCAGGTTACTGAAAAACCCCGGGATCAGGCCAGAAATGAACCATAGAACGTCTCAGGTTGGAAGGGACCTCAGAGATCGTCTGATCCAATGTTCCTGATCCCCTTAACCAGCCCAGGTTGCTCCAGGTCCCATCCAGCCTGGCTGGAACATCTCCAGGGAGGGGGCCGCCCCA